ATTAGGCAAAGTTATCAGACTGGTTTGTGATTAGGCTAGTTGTCATGCGGTGCCATTTTGCTCTTCTCTATATAAACAGAAGAAACAGTAGCTTAAAGTTAATTAATAAAAACACTACTGAATCAGCTCAGTTAACGAGCTCTTCTCTTTCAAATTTCCTTTCGTATTTGACTTGGTATCAAAGCTACTGATTAACATCAATGGCGACTAATTCTGGTTCCACACAATCGCTTAAAAGCGTAGAAGAACTCCTAAGAATATCAATCGATCGCTCCACTTCACACTTACTCAAAGAATCTGTTAATCGTGCATCCTTGGCTTTACCTTCAAGCTTGCAAACCATCAGTCCAAAGCTCACAAGAAACAACTAACGATTTTGGAGCTCACAGGTTCTTTTTGTTGTAGGATCGAATGAATTGGAGGATCATCTTATTGGTAAAGTTCCATGTCCTTCTCTTTTGCTCGTATCGAATTCAGACATTGAAAATGAGTTAGGGCAAATTAGAGGTGAACTTAAGATAGATGATGATTTTGTTAGTAATAAGGTGAATCCTGCCTATATTTTATGGAAGTGTACAGATAAATTTCTTGTAAGTTGCCTATTAGCTTCCATTTCCGAGAGCATGTTTGGAGTTATTTCGAAATGTAGGTTCTCCACTGAAATTTGGAATACTTTACATCTTGAATTCCTAAATGATTCTAAGGCTAGAGCTCTACACCTTAAGAATCGGTTACAAACTACTCAAAAAGGGAGTCTGAGTATCTCGGAGTATGTTAAAAGGATGAAGGAAATAGCAGAAAGTCTATCTGCTAGTGGTTTGATTGTGGCTGATAAGGACTTGTTGCAATATGTATTAGATGGCCTAGGACCAGAATATGATGCAGTTATTGTCAATTTAACCTCTAGACTTGAATCCAAAGTTGATACTGTATCCTTGCAGGAAGCTCAGTTCCTGTTACAAAAATATGAGCTTAGACTAGATAAACTCAACACAACAGATCTGTATAACCACTCTGCAAATGTGGCATCACTTCATCACATTGGAGTTCTTACTGATGTCACCAACACCAACTCTCCTTCTACTCAACAATTCATATCTAAAAGCTCACCTAACACTTCACAAACACCTGCACACAAATCCATTCCAGTTCCTTCACTAGTATCACTAGGAAACCCACATTATCAACAAAATTATGCCATACCTATTGCTACTGCTTATAATGCTGGACTAGGAAACCAACATCAACTGACCTACAATACTTCCATGTTCACTCAAAGACCTCCCTTTCAACAGTATGGTAGAGGTAGAGGTAGAAACTTTGGAAGAAACAGACTGATTTGTCAGCTTTGTAACAAGGCAGGACACTCTACTGTGCAGTGTTATCACAGGTTCAATGCAGCTTACAATGGCAATTTTAACAGTGCTTATACCAACTCACAGCCATCACACTTCAATTCTCAGCCACAACAGTTTTATTCCCCGCAACAGTCAGCCTCTCAGTCATATGTGGCCAATGGATACTCTTCTGGTTCACTACCTCAAAAGCACCCTATAAACTCTCAATCCCAACAGTTTGGGCAGTCACAACCTATTGAACAATCTGCTGTCTCTTTCTCACAGAATTCACATCAGTCATAGTTTCCTTCTCAAATTGCAGAAAACACTGGAAGTCCACTGTTAAGTGTTCCCAGTCAGTAGTTGGCAGGAGATAGTCAAGTTTTTGTTGCCAGCTCAGACATCACATTTCCTGGCTCTAAATCTGGTTGTCCCTTGTATAATCAGCAAGCTCTTCCTCAACCAGTTTTTCACTCTGCCCTTGCTACATCTTCCACTCATACTGATCCTGTGTGGTATATGGACTCAGGCGCAACAGATCATGTCATTGCTGATTTGAATCACATGAGTCTTAGCAAGAGTTATGATGGTGGAAATCAACTTCAAGTGGGGAATGGTGAGTTCCTTAACATATCTCATATTGGTTTTACTCCTTTGTCTAGTGATCTTCATTCCAAATGTTTACTACTCAAAAATATTCTATGTGTGCCTAAAATTACAAAAAAATTGCTAAGCATCTCTAAGTTTACCAAGGATAATGATGTAGTGGTAGAGTTTAATGCTGATTGTTGTATTGTTAAGGACAAGTTAACCAGGGCCATTTTGCTGCAAGGGGAACTTAAAGGAGGCTTTTATCAGTTGAACATCTCACCTAAGCCTACTGTACCTTGTTCATTCAGTCCTGATGTATCTTACTCTAGTGGTTTTTGTTCAAATATGTCTGGTCCAAACAAGTCCAAGTTTGAAAGTTCTCAGTCAAGTGAATCATGTTTTGAGTCCTGTAGTTAAACAAGTTGTGAACCTGATGTATTCTGTTCTAAATACAGTTCTGGTTGTCTTCATAATGTAGAGTCACAGAGGCCTGTTAATAATACTAGTGATGCTAGTAATTCTGGTACTCATGGTTTTATCACATGTAATAATTCTTTTAGCAATAAAAAATTTGACAGTTCTTCTGATTTCCTTAGTTCTGAGTGTAAATCTGATTATTCTAATTCTGGAATTCATTGTTTACTTGCTGATACTACTACAAATATATTTATGACATGGCACAAGAGACTAGGACATCCACATTCTCTTGTTTTACATAAAATTCTTGCTACTTTTTCTAAAAACAGTGTTAATCAAACTCCATCTAAAGCAGTGCCTGTTCCTGAATTTTGTGATGCTTGTCAAATGGGAAAATTGCATCTCACCAGCTTTCCATCCTCTTCCTCCATGTCCACTACACCTTTAAAGCTAGTACATAGTGATGTGTGGAGTACTGCACCCTTACCTTCAGCTGAGGGTTTTCGTTATTATGTACAATTTTTAGACGACTTTAGTCAATATACTTGGTTGTTCGCTCTTCGCACAAAGGCAGAAGTAAAATCAGTTTTTGTTAAGTTTCATCATCTTGCCGAAAGGCAATTTGGTCACAAACTCAAATGTTTACAATTCAACCAAGGAAGAGAGTACATTGCATTACAACCCTATCTTACTAATTTAGGCATTCAGTTTCGACATTCATGTGCATATATTCATCAACAAAATGGACAATGTGAAAGAAAACCTAGACATATAGTAGAAACCAGATTAACCTTTCTTGCCCATGCTTCCATGCCTTTATGTTTTTGGTGGTTAGCTTTCGAAACTGTTGTTTTTCTCATAAATAGGATGCCTACTGCCACTATTAGTTTCATGTCACTTTATCAGAAATTATTTGATCATATGCCTGTTTATGACTCTTTAAAAGTGTTTGGTTGTGCTTGTTTTCCTGTCCTTCGTATGTATAATAATAATAAGTTTGCTTTTCATTCCGTTAAGTGTGTTTTTGTTGGGTATAGCCTTGTTCACAAGGGTTATAGATGTTTAAAACCTGATGGTAAAATTGTCATAACTCCAAGTGTTAAGTTTAATGAGGTTGAGTTTCCTTTTGCCCAAGGTCCATTTTGTTCTATATTCATACCAAATAATTCCAAAGAAACACATATTGAAACTCCTTCCTCTTTTCCGTTTATTGCTGTTTACCCAACTTCCTCTGGTCAAGCTCCTGGTTCCTCTACAGTATTCAGCCCTGGAAACAAGTCTAACAATGGTGCAATAGGAGGTAATCACTCTAACCCTGTTCCTACATTGCAGTCTAATCCTATGTTTTCAGAACACAGCAAAAGTTCATTTAATTCTGCTGTTCCACCTAACACTAAGAGTCAATCAAATTATGATAGGCAGTCATCTGTTTCACCTGTGCATTTTTCTTCAAATCCTGATGATCAGCCACCTATTTCACCTGCTCCACCTCTAAACACAGCCATCAATTGTTCTTCTCTGCCCATTATACCATCCAACATTAACCCTTCATCTTGCTCACTTGAAGTTGATCTTACATTGTCAAAATTCTCCAAAGATTCAAAAAATTCTCAATCAGTAGCAACAAACACTCACCCTATGTTGACAAGGGCAAAAACTGCTGCTATAACCTCTGCTGAACCAAGTACTAAAGCTGGTCATTCTACTGCTTGTCTTACTACAAAACATGAGGGGTTTGTACCTATGGTTGCTCCTGCAGTGCACCAAGTTTCATCAGGTTCAGAGTTGGCCTTTACCACTACAACCTCTGATCTTATGTATGTTCCTTCACAACAACAAGTTGAAACTGAACCAGCATCAGTAGTTGATGCTTTAGCCAGTCCTAGTTGGAAAGCAGCTATGAAATCAGAGTTTGATGCACTTGTAATTAACAAAACTTGGACACTTGTACCTTTATCTCCCAATATGAATGTAGTAGGAAACAAATGGGTGTTTCGTACCAAGTTTAATGCTGATGGTACCCTCCAAAAGTATAAGGCAAGGTTGGTTGCCAAGGGATTTCAATAAACCCTTGGTTTTGACTACTTTGAAACATTTAGTCCCGTAGTTAAACCTTCTACAATCAGGATAATTCTGACTTTGGCAGCAACAAATGGTTGGGACATACAGCAAGTTGATATGAATAATGCATTCTTGAATGGGACTCTGAATGAAGAAGTGTATATGCAGTAGCCAATTGGGTTTGAAGATCTTTCTTAGCCTACTTTTGTATGCAAGTTACAGGAGGCTTTGTATGGTCTTAAACAAGCTCCAAGGGCTTGGTTTGATAAGTTGAAAACAGCCTTACTTAGCAAAGGATTTTTGAATTCCATTTCTGATTCTAGTCTTTTTATATGTAAGCAAGGTTCCTCTCTAACGTATGTGTTAGTATATGTTGATGATATCCTTTTAATAGGATCCAATCCAGCCCATATTTCACAACTGATGCAATAACTTAATGAAGAGTTTGCTCTCAAAACCCTTGGCTCATTGCATTATTTTCTTGGATTAGAGGCTACTAGAACCTGCAAAGGCATTCATTTGAAGCAAGCTAAATATGCCTCTGACTTGTTAACAAAGACTAGAATGCTGGATGCAAATCCTTGCTGTACACCTATGGCTGTGGGCACAAAATTAGTCTCAAATGACAGTGAATTGTTTGAGAATCCTAGTCTTTACCGTAGCACAATTGGGGCTCTTCAATACCTCACTCTTACTAGACCTGATCTCAGCTTTCCTGTCAACAAGTTAAGTCAGTTTTTATCAGCTCCCACTAATCTACAATGGCAAGCTTGCAAGAGAATTTTGAGGTATGTAAAAGGGACTTTAGATCATGGCTTACTTTTCAAGCCTGCTGGCAGTTTGCACATTGAATGCTATGCTGATGCTGATTGGGAAAGCAATTTGGAAGATAGGAGGTCCACAAGTGGTTATTGTGTGTACATGGATCCAAATTTAATACAATGGAGCTCAAGAAAGCAAAAAGTAGTTGCTTTATCTTCTACTGAAGCTGAGTATAGGGCTTTAGCTCAAACTGGAACAGAGGTTGCATGGTTACAGAGTCTATTTGCTGAGTTGAGCATTCCTATAACTTCTAAACTTGTTCTATGGTGTGATAATGTTAGTACTGCTGCCTTGGCATCTAATCTTGTGTTTCATGCACGGACCAAACACATAGAAATAGATGCTCACTACATAAGAGAATAGGTGCTGGCTAACAAGATGGCTATACAATATGTGCCATCAAAATTACAAATTGCAGACCTGTTGACAAAGGCTTTGTCTGCTACCCATTTTGCAGAATTACGTGCAAAGCTCAATGTGATAAGCAAAGATGACATGTATTAGTAGTTTGGTTTGTGATCTGGTGTGAAATCTGCTGCATTTTATGACCTGGTGTAGTGTTGTAACTCTGGTGAAATTTGTTGTTGCAGTGTGTAATCTGGTGTAGTTTGTGTGGAATTTTGAGATTGAAAGTGTTTGAAGCTTAAAGTGAAGATCTGAGAAGAAAAAGACTTTCTCTATTGATTAAAAGATACACGAAAACGCAGCAGACTTCTCTTTAAATATGCAGAGAAGTTTCAACTCAACTTTACTAAAAAACAGAGAAGAAAAGAAACTGGTAAAAAATGACACAGTAAACAAATTGTGAATTTGACATTTTTGCAGTCGCAAAGACCAACGGTGAATTTGACGTCTTGCCGTCCGTTTTGATCATGTTTTTATCTTGCTAACAGTTTGTGAGTGTGAAGTCTGCTGCATTTTTATGATCTAGTGAAGTTTGAAGTTGTAGTGTGTGAAATCTGCTACATTTTATGATCTGGTGAAGTTTGGAGTTGCAATGTGTAATTTGGTGTAGTTTGTGAGTAGTGTGAAATCTATTGGAAACTGTGATCTGGTGTAATTTGGAGTTGCAGTGATTGATTTGTGCAGATTGGTTTGTTATACGTTTGGCATCTACTGTAGTTTGGAGGTGCAGTGATTGGTTTGTGATTGATTTGTTGGAGGTTGTGATATGGTGAAGTTTTGCAGTTGCAATGTGTGGTCTGTTGTATTCTGTGGTCTGTAGGAATCTGCAGTTGCAGGCAAAAGTGATTCTGTTATGGCTAATTATAGGTTGTTATAGAACGGTAGAAAAGTGAATGCTGTGATGATTGGAGTAGCAGTTTTGGTAAGTCAGGTTTTTGATTCTGTTATGGAGTTGCAGTGATAAATTGTGATATGTTGAAGGTTTGCAGTTGCAGTAAGGATGTTGTAGAATGGTAGAAAAGTGAATGATGTGATGTTGCAACATCAGTTTTTGTTTCAGCAATAAAGTGCAGAGTTATTGTTTAGAAGTGCAGAAAATGCTGTGATGTTGAAGTAGCAGTTTTAGCAATAAAGTGCACAGTGCAAAGTTATTGTTCAGAAGTGCAGAAAATGCTGTGATGTTAGAGTAGCAGTTTTAGCAATAAAGTGCAGAGTGCAGAGTTATTGTTCAGAAGTGCAGAATTTTATTTTTAGTCTTCAAGATTAGTTCAGAACTGTACTTTAATAAGCATGATGTTCAGGAGATTAGCCAGGCATACGCAGCTTGGTTTGAGGGGGGATGTTGACCAAATGTTGAAAAAGATAGTTCTGTAATTAGGCAAAGTTATCAGATTGGTTTGTAATTAGGCTAGTTGTCATGCGGTGCCGTTTTGCTCTTCTCTATATAAACAGAAGAAATAGTAGCTTAAAGTTAATTAATAAAAACACTACTGAATCAACTCAGTTAACGAGCTCTTCTCTTTCAAATTTCCTTTCGTATTTGACTCATTAAAATACTTTTAATTGGTCCTAATTCAATTATACATTGATCAATACTTTAATATTAATATATTATAATATATTAAAATTTTTTATACTTTAATATTAATATATTATAATATATTAAAATTTTTTATATGATACAATTTATATGTAATAAGTATAATTGTATATTTATTTAATTAGATTATTGTAAAAATTTAACTTTTTCCATTTCAATTTTTTATGTAAAATTACAATAGACCTCCAATTCTTCACAAATATTTCATTTCAATCCAAATTCCAAAACAAGGAACCTATTGCAGGTTCCAAGCCGGGTACTAGCTGCAGGTTCTATTTTCCAGGTTCTAGAGGAATCTGAATCGCACAGTGTTGGTTCCAAAAAAAAGGACTCGGTACCTACTCACACAGTATTAGTTTCGAGTAGGTTTTTATTCCGATTCTGGTTATACCTGCTACTCGTGCTCACCCCTAAATGAGAGAGGAGACTAAGTAAAAATCCCTATCACGAGTAGATATAAAGTAGTCCAGATTGACGGCTTGGGAGAGGACTAAAATTCTTTAACAAAGACAGCTTTCCACTATTGCTTACTTGCCCACTTACTTCCAAGTATAAAGGCTGCTTGGCTTCTGAATAACATTAATATACCCATTTTCAATGAAATTTCCTCCTTGTTTGAATTTGTCTCTTGCTCAATTGAGTCCAAGTTTATAAATACCATCTGGCTTCTCTTTGAAAAAGCACAATACTACATTCTTCATTTCCAGCCTTTGAGTCGCATTATTTCCCCTTTTGGCAACAAAAAAGTTATGTCTTAGATCGAAGTTTATTTTGTAATATGCAGCCAATACTGCCTGCCACTGCCATTATCATGGTTATGTGTCATTAGTTTGCTTATTATCATAAAAACAAAATGAAAGTTTAACCTTATAAGCATATTTTTTATATACTAGTTCAACAAATATATATTTCATGAAATATGATAAAATCTTATATAGCACAGTCTTATTTTCTTTCTTGTATTTTTCAGTAAGTAGGAATTGTGTAAGTTAATCCTCACAAGATCGTTGGAAGAGAAAAACACGGAGTAATATGGGGGCAATAGCAAAGAACTTGAAAGAACTAAGTGGCGAGAATGACTGGGAAGGTCTATTGGATCCTCTCAACATCAATCTTCGCCAGTATATAATTCACTACGGCGAAAGGGTTCAAGCTGTTTATGACTCCTTCAATTACGATAAGACTTCTGGGTCGTATGGATTTCCTCTATACGCCCCGAAAGATATCTTCTCTAACGTTGGCCTAGAGAAAGGAAATTCTTACCACTACACGGTGACCAACTATATCTATGCAATGATAGATATTGATTCAAATTTTGATGGGATTGTCAAGGGCCAATCTACTTGGATTGGTTACGTGGCTGTGGCCACAGACGAAGGAAAGGCTACGTTAGGAAGAAGAGACATTTTGATTTCTTGGAGAGGAACTCTGTTGGCAAAGGAATGGTTAAAAGATATTGATTGGCCTCTAACTTCAGATTCAAACATACTTGGGGGCACTTATGATCCTCAGCCTCAGGTGCACAAGGGATTTCACTCGCTTTACACATCATGTGACACCAAATCTGAATACAATAAATTCAGTGCAAGCGAACAGGTATTTATTTTCCCCGATATATTAAATGATAATATTTAACTTTTACCCAATATTTTAATTTTTTTCGATAACCAATTAATAATTTATTATACATGCAGGTTCTGAGTTCAGTAAAGAAACTAGTTGATAAATACAAAGACGAGGAAATCAGCATTACAATAACTGGACATAGCTTGGGTTCAGCGCTTGCCACATTGAATGCAGCTGAAATAGTTTCGAAAGGATATAATAAGCCCACAGGATCGGATAAAGCATGCATAGTGACAGCTTTCGTGTTTGCGAGCCCTAAGGTTGGAGACAAAGCCTTCAAGACTGCATTCAATGGACTTGAAAATCTTCATCTCTTGCGCATCAGAAATATCGACGACATAGTTCCAACGTTGCCTACTAAATTTCCTTTCTTCCTCTACTTTGAAGTGGGAAAAGAGTTAACAATTGACACTACCAAGTCCACATACGTGAATGTTGATAAGGCTAAGCTAATAGAAGTTTTGCATAACTTGGAGAATTATCTCCATGGAGTTGCAGGACAACTGACGAGAGTGGTAAATTTACGTTGATAATTAAACGTGATGTTGCACTGATGAACAAATGGTCAAATATTTTGAAGAGCGAATTTGGAGTACCACCTGAATGGTGGCATCCTATAATGAACAAAAGAATGGTTCAACAGGACAATGGATTTTGGAAGTTGGAATATTATGTGCCGGAGCAACCCAGGGCCTAAGATTAATGGAGATTTGTGTCACTACTTAAGGTTGCTCAAACACTAATAAAGAGACGTGGATCTGTGGCGGGAATAATTAATTGCCATTGGAGGAGTCAGCTGGAGGTTTCCTTAGCTCTTTAAAGCTTTGTTTAATGTACTTTTTTGTTCATTCTTTTTTTTTTTTCCTTAAATATATCTTTTTTATGTGAGTAATGTTTGATTTGTGATTAAATAATTTTGTGATGGAGAAAAAAATAATAAAAAGTAATTATTTTAATATAATCACAAATAATGAACTATTTACCATGAGCAACATACAGATAGTAGCTATCCACGTAAAATAAAATAAATCGTATCAAATGATTATACGACATCGTAAGCGACAACAAAGATATATAAGTGAAAGAAATTAAACATATATTATTTATTTACAATAAAATAGAAGATCACAAATTAATTATTTTTTCCATTTGTAACTTTGATCAATAACACAAATGTTACTATACTAATAGTTTTGCTGAGAAAATCCAGACCTGGCAAACTGGTGGGCCGGGCGGATATGGGTTCAATAGTTACAGATAACGGGTAAAACGGATCTGAGTTTACGGGTAAAAATTGTTTACAGGTACGAAAATACATGACTCGTGCAAGTACGGGCCGGCCCGCAGTTCACCCCTTTATTCTACTTTTTAAAACTTTTTCTCTCCTAATTTTATTTTTAAGTTTTTCTCTCGTCTATTTCCTTACTCCAAATATTTCTCTTTCATCTTCGTCTTCTTCCTCCTCCTCTCTCCAATTCTTCTTCGTCTTTTTCTCCCTCTCCACTGTTTCATATTTCTTCTTCTTCTTCTCCCTCTCCCCAATTCTACTTTGTCTTTTTCTCCCTCTCCACTTTCTCATATTTCTTCTTCTCCACTTTCTCATATTTCTTCTTCTTCTTCAGTCTTCACCCTTCAATTCTTCTTTGTCTTCTTCTTCTTCCTCTCTCCTACTTTAAAGAGATTTAAGTTTTTTGCCTCTCCCATATTTTTTTTCTTTGTTCTTTGTGTCTCATTTTCCATTTTCCCTTTGTCTTTTATAAACTAAATATATTATAGATCTATAGTCTCCACTGTCGCCACTGGTGAGGGTAAGCATGTGTTGGCGCCGTGGAAGCCTGCCGGCGAATGGCAACCACTTCACGGCTTGATCCATGCCTTCTCTTGTTGATATGTGGTTTATATTTGTTGGTTTGAATGTTGATTTGCAAGTTTTTCTTTGTTAATATTATTGATTTGTTGTTTGAGATTTAAAGATTTCTTTCTTCTTCAGTCATCATTTCACCTTTGTTTTTTTGTTTTGTCCGAGTACCCGCGGGTACCATCCGACCCGTCCGTTATTTTTCACAAGCGGGTCGGCGATAAACCTTATACAGGTAATTATCATGGTTACCCGTACTGGGTACCCACGGGTACGGATCCAAGTTTGCCGGGCCTCAATTGATATCTGGAGAGGTATCAACACACTAAAACCAATATATTATTGCTAAATTAATAACTACCAACTAAAGTCATGATAAAAGATGGATGAACAGAATATTTCAATATTATTTAACATTTTTTCTAATTTTCTTTTTCATTTTAAGGGAAACACTGGGACACTTTGTTCATTCCAGAAAAAGTTACCAGGATCAACTGCAGTCTTTACCTGAACCAGTCTTCTGAAATTCTTCTTGAAATACTTCAAACCCCAAATGTTTGCCTGTGCATAGCTTGTATTGCCATTCTTATTCCTTCCCAAATCAAGATCTCTGTAGCCGAGGTATGCAGCTCTCGGAGCCTTTGAAGCATAAGGTTTCATATATTCATAAAGCCTTCTGATCCCGCCAGTGTGCTTCGCTGATTCATCTTCAATATTCCATGTCACCATATACTGGATTTTGTATAAATTTCCAATCCTGTGCGGAAATGGGATTTCCGTATCAGAAATCTCACTCATTTTTCCTCCATAAGGTGTTAAAATCAGATATGATGTCTTTTCTTCAAGAAGCCTTTTGTATAGCCCGTCCAACCCAGTTTCGGAAATCGGTTCTTCCACATAATCAGATTTCGCCTTGAAGAACCCCTTGAATTGCGTAGTTCTATCAAGCAAAACTTCTAGAGAATCATGAGTTGAGAAGCCGGCGAAATAGAGAACAGACTGAATCCAATCCATTTCAGTGCAGTTTTCACGCATTAAACCCAATTCAGGGAAACTTTCTTGCATCAAAGGTATGAGATTTTCAGCCCCACCAAGATACAAGGACGCAAATGAAACTCTGACAGTCTTTGCGTCAGTAACTTCCAACACAGCATGAATGAAGAGATCTTCATTAAGTTCATTTCCAATGGTTTGCCATTTCTGAAGAAGCCTGCTGGCTCCTTGTTCTAATGTGTATCTAACTCTGAATAAAGTTAAAGTTGAGGGAACTGGAACCAGTCGAAGTCTCCAGGAGAAAATTACTCCAAAACTTGCTCCACCGCCGCCTCTAATCGCCCAGAAAAGATCTTCCCCCATCGTTTTTCGACACAGAATTTTTCCATTAACATCCACTATCTTAGCATCAATTACATTATCAGCAGCCAAACCATATTTTCTGAATATGGTACCAAATCCGCCGCCGCTGATGTGTCCTCCAACACCAACAGTAGAACAACTTCCAGCAGGGAAGCCATAGAGCTTACTTTTCTCCGCAATTTTGTAGTATAATTCTCCAAGAGTTGCTCCGGACTCCACCCACGCACTTTCATTTTCAATGTCAACGCTAATGGATCGAAGATTGAAAAGATCAATTACGAGAAAAGGAACATCAGCTTCACCAACATAAGATAGTCCCTCATAGTCATGGCCTCCACTTCGAACTCTTATTTGCAAGCCATATTCTCTCGAGCAGATTACGGCAGATTGGATATGAGACACATGAAATGGAGTTATAATAAACCTGGGAAGGTTTGGTGTTGAAGTGTTCAGGAATCTGGCGTTCCGAATGGAAGATTTCCAGACGGATGAGTAATCAGAACTATTCCGGGTGATTAAAACTTGGGAAGTTTGATTAGACTGCTCTAAATGAGATGAAAAACATTGTAAAAAGCCTTTCTCTTGACCAGAATATGAAGTTGCCGAGTCAAGTGAGATGAAAAGAATAAAAATCAACAACATTGTGTATGAATTTGCGAAACCCAAATTGATTTGTGCATTATATAAATTGTTGTTCTTGATCATTGTCAATGGAGAGGATATGGAACATAATTTTGCGAGAGAAAATTATAATAAGTGTTAGAAAGTGTATTATTGCTCAATAAAAAATATAGAAAGTTAGGTAGAACTCTAAAATCTGTGGGTTGGTCAAAACGACGACCTTTACGCAATATAAATAAGTGGTTGCCTTACTCTTGTAGTCTTGTGTCATTCGAAGCAAATAATAATAATGAAAACTTTCATCAAATCCATTCAAGCTCTTTACTATTTCCTATAGCCTATAGCCTATAGCCTATAGTCCACTTTCTCTACTTCCCAAAAATCTTCACATCCTTTCACTCCTCTTCATCAATAAACAAACTATACTATTTGAAACTCTTTTTCCAACACTCAAAACAGGACGCATCCCAATATCCTCTATATTTTCAAAACAAATAATCAAACTCCACCAACTCTTTTTCAAACACTCAAAATAGGACGCATCCCAATATCCTCTATATTTTCAAAACAAATAATCATTAGTGATATTGGAGCTGTGTTTGGTCATTTATCGAGCATAGTAAAATTATGACCGAGCATAGCCGTCCTACTATTCTGCTTTTCTTATTTAATGGGAAAAACAATAGCCCCGTTTGGCATATTATTTTTACTTATATTTCTAATTTTATTATCAAAATATTTATTTTATTATTTAAAACATATTAATATATTTTTTAATTACTTTTAAACTTATTAAGTTTATTAATTTTATTAAATACTCTAAAAAAAGGTTTAAAATTTAATAAAAATACCTCCAGTCATCCATACTTGCCAGATTCTGATAACCACTGTCGATGGTAGCCGAAATCTATTACAACGGCCTACAAAAGACCGAAAACTGGCCGTGATTGACCGACAACAACGACCATATCTTTGGTCGTCACTGACGACCAAATCTAGACTTTTTCGACCGTCGACGGCCAGATCTGGCCAAAAAAGGTCATATCGACGCCTTACCTGTCAGATCCGACCAGTTGCATCGTAACGACATTTTTTGACCAGATTCCAGTGGTGGTGGCTGGAATCTGGCACTGTGGATGGGTGGGTAGGGGTTTTTTTGTCATTTTATAAAATTTTTATATATTGAAGTGTTTAGTTAAATTAGCAAACCTAGGGGGTTTTTTTATAAATTTTTTTAATTTCACCTCGTAATACTCCCCTGTTCAACTACCCAATATTATTCTCAAAATCTTATCCAAAATAATAAAACAAATGACCCTATGATTCTTGATCCATCAAAATGAGAACCTATTTTCCTTCCCAAAATTTGAGGAAAGTAATTGAAAAGGGACTAATTGTTCCTGAAGACACTTCCACTCTCACAACTACTCAAAAGAAAGCACTTGATGAGAGTTTATAAAAAGACTCCCAAACATTATTTTCTCTTCAGCAAGCAATGTCAGAAGAAATTTTTTTGCGAATTATGGGTGTGACAATTGCCAAAGAAGCGTGGGATACGTTGCAGGAAGAGTTTCAGGGATCTGAAAAGGTACATACTATTAAACTTCAATCTTTTAGAAGAGATTTTGAAAATCTTAAAATGGAAGATAATGAGTGTCCTAAATATTACTATTCAAGAATAAAAGAATTAGTAAATCAAATGAGAGCCTATGGAGAAAATATAATTGATAAGGAAATAGTACGAAAAATACTAATAACTTGCACTGAAAAATATGATTTGGTAATTTCTGCTATTGAAGAATCTAAAGATTTTAGAAAAATTAACACCCACTGAACTAATGGGCTCTCTTGAAGCACATGAAAAAAGATTAAATAGGTGAAATAAAAATACTACAGAAAATGTGCTTCCATCTAAAACAAATATGCGGTCTCAAAAATTGAAAGAAAGTGGGAGAAAAACCATAGAAAACTTTAAAAATCAAAATCAAAATCAAGATAAACACTTTGAAAATAAAAGAAATTTTCCTCTATGTGGAATTTGCAATAGAAAAAGTCACTTGGAAAAAGATTGTTGGTTTAAAGAAAAATCACAATATAGAAACCGTAAAAAATTAGGGCATGTTGAAAAAGAGTGCCAATCTAAAAGAAATCATCAAGCTAATTTTTCTGAAGAAAAAGAAGAAAATTATCTTTTCCATGTCTCCCAAACTGTAACTAAAGAAGAAAATTGTTGGGGATTGGTTAAGACTACTTTGGTTTTGGATTACCCATTTTAACGTGCAGCGGAATATTACCAAGTTGATTAAAAGATTTTCCCTTTTTTAGCACAACAAACATAAGCGCAAAAAGTAAAGAACACAGCCATATACATGGTTCGACTAAATCCAATTTTAGCCTACATCCATGAGACCTTGTCTAGATAAAAGCAATCCACTAAGTTAAAAACACATTATAACATATAGTTCAAAGCTAATCTAAGTGACAATAAAAAGAACTCCCTATTCAACTTTACACTTAGCACTACACTTTGAATCCTTAACGTCTAGCAACTCCTTGGAGCTTCCTCTTGTCAGGAACACACCCCAAAACAGCTTGTAAACCACCAAGCTTCAACCATCGACACCACGCACCAGCATCAGCAGAGGAACCACATTCTAGTAGTCATCAAGTCTATGTTTGATATGGTGAGGTTTTGGCACAAAATGGAAAATGAACCTTGAACCTTAAGAGAAAGAGTACTCTAAGAAATTCAGAGTAAAATGAAATAAGAGATCAAAAGGTTAGATTCATTTACACAAGAAAGAGTATTATATAATGAATGATTTCTTGCTTAACAATACAGTGCCATGTCAACCAACAAGGAGCTATCCCATGTTTGTCCAAATAAGGAAAGTATTCCTTCTTTTGGTTTGGACCACAAAATAAATTGGGAAAGATAACTTTATTCCCCAGGACCACTTAAGGAAAATATGACACATGTAAAGAGGTCCTGAATATCAAGAGACAAAGATAAACATAATCTTTTTCTCTTTATCAGATATACAACTCATGTCGGGTTACAAAAAGTTTGAAGCAAGAGTGTAAGCACAGACCGTTGTGCACACACACTCAAGACGAAACAAGCCAAGACACATGTTTGGAAAACTATGTGCACTAAGAATTGATGTGCATACAGACAATAGATGAGACAAGCCAAATAAAAGGATTGGCAGCTAGTGTGCACACATAATTATTGTGCACACACAATTCATAAGTTTGACAAAAATAAATATTCTACATTCTCCCCCTTTGTCAAACTTATGAACAAAGAACATAATAAAAAAGATGAAGGGCAAACCTGTCTAAATCAACCATTTAAGACCTACAGATTTGCACACACAAACATGAAAACAAGATAACCAAAACAACAAAAATGTAAACACATGGTTAGTAAATAAAACTGATAAAAAGGTCAAAGCAAGATAACTAAGGAGTTTTAAAAGGTAGCAAACAAAATAACAAACTCCCCTTTGGAGAGATAACACAAGATATCACAAGATTTTAAATTTATCCAATAGTCATAACAAGAACACAAAAAAAAAAAAAACACAAATAAAACTATAACTCCCCCATGCTTCTTACTCTCCCTCTTTGTTCATACTTGACGACTTTCAGGATGGTAGAGAAGAGCAACTAATTTTCTCTTGGTTTTGTGTTGTGGAAGGGCAATGATGGTGACATATGAGTCATCTATTGAACTTCTAGAAAGACAATAGAGTAGTGTGCATAGGAGAATCTGTTTGAGCAGTTGCACCTTCAAAAGGTTCTTGATCATCATCTTTAGTACCTTTTCTTATTCTTCTCACAACCTATCTCTTTCCTATCAACAGCCTCATTCTGAACAATTTTCTCTTTCTTCTTTTTCTTCTTTTTCAGACCAGCCTCCATTTTGTCCATCTGTGAGCAGAGAGAAGTGGGAATTTCCTTCACATATTGAAGGACAGACTTCATTGAAGTCTCCAAATCCTGCATGGCAACAAAAAGCTTGGACTGCAAAGTGTTAGTCATTACGTGATCAATTGAGGAAGATGATGGCAAATGCTTTTTAGCTTTCTAATAAACTTCTTGGTGAATATTTATCCTTAAAGGTTCCACTCCATATGACTTAGGCTTGTAAGTGGAAATGATTTTGTAAAGTAAGGAAGGAAAGCAAAAAACTCTAAGATGATTGAGTGATGGCTGCAACTCTAATACTAGTGAAAATCAACTCAGCCAAGTCAATATTCATCCAAGTCAATATTTTTCATTTAAAAAATTCCATAAAGGAGTTGTGCTTGTTTAGTTCTGACAGTCGAATTGTGCATTGAAGGGGACCAATTTTTCAATAAGATTTTAAATAGTAATATGTAAAACGGTGTGAGAACATCAGGCTGAAGAACACTAGTTCTCAGCCAAACAGTGTAATGCCCACATTGAGGTACGTCACTTATTTATGCTTGTTTGCTCTTAGTTAAGCCTATATACTCTTAGTGTTGCCTGTTTGCCCATAGTGTTGCTTGTTTTAAGGTGGAGAATGGCGAAGTTGTGAATTGCAAACTTTGTCGCGGCAAAGAAGAAAGCTCGTTGCGGCGACGTATGCTCTGGAATTTTTCGCCGAGGCAAAGAGTTGGCTAGAATTCTTAAGAAAATTCTAGAGAAATTTTCTTAAGGGCAAAGTGACCATTCTACCCCTAATTAGTTGTAAATCTCGGGAATGAAAAGTAAGGAAATTTCATGGAAAATGCAATGAAGGTAAGGGCCTTTGTGTAATTGATTAAAGGGCAAAGATGGAATTTTTAAGAAAGTGTAAGGGAAAAATGGGAAAGTGTGCCTATTAATATAAGATATTAAGGGTTCAAGACCACAAACCCTATCATTCTTTACTCTCTCTCACGCCACCTTCAACCTCAAATTCTCTCAATTCCTTCATCAATTTCCAAAGAGATTTAGGGGACTTTTGGTTGGATTTTTGGTAGAGATTTAATCCTAAGTATCCAACGGTAAGAATTCTTGTAATAGATATGAGATTATTTTTTTTAAAGTGTTGAATTCTTA